TCATTTAAAGCTCCTTGTTTCTCTTTGTATCACCGGAACTAGTAAAATAACAATTTTTAGCACATTCTTTTTTTTTTTTATGACACATTAATTTTGAAAATCTTGCAAAAATAAAAATAATTGTCGGATGTTAATGAAACTTTCAGAAACTATTCACAGATGATCAAAATTATTATTTTTTTTTTTTTTTTATTAAAGTCATGGCAGAAATATTTCTTTATATTTATTACCCCCGCATAACTAATTTTATGAAAACTCTAGAAATTCGATCGAGTCCACTTTAGTAATTACAATAGTTAAAAACAAGGCTTTGAGGAATGCAAATCATGTTTTTTTTGTTTTTAATTGGACACCCCCCTGAAAATCAGCTCTAAATTGTAACATACAAAACAAATATATTTAATTTCAAATGCTTTTATTTGCTTTTAGTTGTTTTTATGAATATGGACAATGTTTTCTGAAAGCACAATTTTTTCGATGAAAAATGAAATTTTTAATACAATTATTTTTTAATTTTTTTTTAATTACAAGATTTTTAAATTTAAGTCGTTAAAATATTATAAAATTAGGTAAAAGCCGCATCAACTTTCGTAAGTGTCCTTATGAGATAGATTTTTTTTTTTTTTTTTTTTTAGCGCGTTGTAAATTGAATCGTTTTGACTAATCAGAAGACCCGCAGTAATTAAGAAATGTAATTTTATGTTTATAACCGGGCTGTAATTATCAAGTACGGAAGACCAACCAGAATACAATTATGTTTCGTTATTTGAGTTAAGCATTGTTCTCCGCTGTTAAGGCCTTTACTTTTGCGAAACACGTGTAGAGAAATTAATTTGATTTTTCAATTTCAACTGAGAAGGGTACCTACAAGTATCAGTATCATCTTATGAAATTTATATGATCTTAATATATATGGTAATATAGTTATGGTATTTTTCCATAAATGAAATATCAAAATTAGTAAAATGAATGGAAATACAAATAACACAGTAAAATGTAGTAAATGTACATACAATTATAGCATTGTATGTACACTTCTGATAAAATTTCATAAGAAAGGTACCTATAAATTAATTAGATACCTTTTTTATGAAATTTAATCTCACTCTTAACAGTCTTATTTTAATTTCTTTATAATATATTTTCCATAAAGCATCGTAAACGTAAAGGTGAAAGCTAAGTACAAAAAAAAAAAAAAAAAAAATTAGAGCGCTGAAAGTTTTCCTTAAAAATAACGAGGTAAATAATTGGTTCACTTAAATGTAAATAATTTCAATTTTCTCCTTCCGTAGAACAAATTATCCTCACGTAATCCGTCAATATGTCATTCATCACCTGTCAAGTGACGCGAAAGTTTATGAGCTGCTTTGTTTTATTTTCAAATTACATCTTTTCGGCGCAGAAGCTAAGTTAAGCTTTGTTCTAAATATTTTAAATAAACATTATAATTTCTGATTTTCTTAAAATAAATTTTGAAAAAATGATAATTGATTTTTAAAAGAATTTCAAACTGAGATTTTCATTTTTTTATAAAATGGAAAGAAAATGGTTGGCATGATCGATTATCTGTCAATTTTGCTGACTCAAAAAAAAAAAAAAAAAAAAAAAGATTTTTAACGAAAATTTCGGACGTGCTTGGAACGATTAAAAAACAAAAAAAAACAACAAAATACTTTGATCTTTCCTCTTAATAATAAACATTTAGACGATACAATTTTGTTTTCGTCAAGTTTGGCGTCTTTTTCCATCATGCTATGCTCCTTTTTTAGTGATCTCGTGGAGGTACCTATGCTAATACCCTTGAGAAGTATGGATCCAGCTCTTCTCCCGCCCCCAAGTTATGAGTAAATAGGACAGACTGGGTCCTTTAGCCCTGGGTGGCAAAACGGTCTAGAAGAAGGACAACCCTGAATTCAAAACTGTATGCCAACCTGGCGAAATACATGCTAAAGGAAAGGATCGATCGCATTGACTCGATGATCCCGACTAATGTCGCCTCTTTTACAGGTTTACTGATTTATTTCGTTGGCATTTTACCTGAGCTTACATACCTTGCATACGTCATACAAGGTGTGCAAATTAAAATTTGCTGTACTGAATATACAGGGTGGTCCGAAAGTCTTGTCACCCATAATTTTCTATTTCAGATAGCTGACACAAGTTCCTAAAGTTTGGAAGAGAGATGGAGGTGACAAGACTTTCAGACCACTCAATATAGCGTGTGACTGAGTGAGAGTTGTTTCAAGTAGTCTGTTGTAACGAAATTGTCCGGTGTTCACAATCATCTTGAAGAGTAGAGAAGTATATTCAGTACAGCAAATCTAAATTTGCACACACAAGGTGTGTAAATTTACGTAAAATGACACATACACATTATAGATGTCAGTTTAAGTTAAACTAGGCTTGCCAGAGTAAAGCTCCATCTGTTTGAAGTCTTGTGACGAAATTATCCGGCGTCCACAACCATATTGAAGTGTAAACGTTTCTCCGCGGTCGAGCGCTCTTTATTGGTTAATTCTTTTCAAATAGCGTTTTGAGCAGGCAAACACGAGAAAACAAAAACGTTTAGTTGTTTGGAAGCATCAGTTATGAAAATTGTGTATATTTATCAGTCAACACGACTTTTCATCGAACGAATTAGTCAATTGCCAAAAATTCGTTTTCGTGTCGAAAAGAGCCTACTGCTACTGCTTTTTTTTTTTTTTTAAATACATCAACGTCAGAGATTAACATTTTTGTTTTGTTTTTTTATTTAGGAGGGAAAAGTATTTTAGTTAAGCGCCTCAAATTATTGCAGCTGTTGTAAGGGCACTTGGTCAGTTAAGAAAAAAAAATTTAATCAAAGTTAAAAATGCGAAAACAAAATAAATGCAAACATTTTATCAGATATTTTAAATATAGGTCAATTTATTTTTGTCAAGAGTGGGACACTGCTTTTTTTTGTTTAAATTTGGAAACTGATACTTCTGTTTAAGATTGCATGAATAAAAATACAAAATAAGTAAGACATTTTGATATTGTCGAAATAAAAGAGTGGGGGAGGAATGACTGCAATATTTTTTCTAGTAAATTTGATAGTATTTTGTTTTCACTGACCAAGTGCCTTAAGAAAACGGTTATAATTTGAGACGTTAAACTAGAATATGCGCTTGCTGTAGATTATCAACGCCAAAAATAAAATTCAACGAGCGGAGTTCAAATTTTGACAGGCCGTTACTTTCCATTTCTAATTTAGAAAAGCAATGGATCTACATCTTCAACTATGGGTTAAATATCAGATAGATTGGGCTCTTTAGACAATCTAACTAAATTCTAAATTCAGTAACTGTGGACAAAGCAACGAGAAACAACTATCTTTCCAAAGACCATGTCACTTCACATATTAAAGTGGGAAGCTGTGGAGAGTCACTGCTTGCGTTCTGAAGTATATCATTATAAGGAAAACTGAAATAGTCAAAAATTATCCTAATAAATGTATTTTAAACATTTTATTAGAAATGTAAATTTTTCGATGAAAATCTTTTCTCACAATTGAGATAAATTTTGTCGTTTCAGCTTTCACTACAAACAACAAATAAAAAAAAAAAAAAAAGGTTTCAAATTCTGTACACAATATTCATTAAATACAGTTATTACCAGGGCCGGTACAAGAGTCATGTGCTCCCCACCCACAATTTATGATACACCCCCCACCACCCTACTACATCTCGTTTTTCATAAGGTGGTATTCATAAAATACAAACTTTATTGTAATCTAATTATGTACAATAACAGATCATATGCAATATAGGCAAATAATTCAACTAGAAAAATTGAAAATAAATACAATGTATCTCAAGACAAATTAGAGACATGTCATAATTGATAATTAATTTTAAATAAATCAACAATGTTTTGCAGCAGTTTTTAATATCGACTTGATTTTCCTTGTTAAAAAGTTGAATTTTAACACATTCAACAACGATTAAAAAATAGTGAATTTTATATAGCTTTTTTTTTCCGAGGCTTAACGAGGAAAACAAATTAACAGATTTGGAAAAAAACAAAAGAACCCCACCAAAAAAACAAACAAAAATGACGTGAAAATCTGGAAATATTTCATTCTTTAATAGTCATTTGTGCTTAATTTGTGACGGATTTAATGTAGGAAAAAAAGCAAATGTTGATAAGATAGAGAAGGATCCTCATTGGGGACCTCATACTTTCGGCCTTGCGCCACATCTAAGTTATACTTAGAAAATTATTAAAATTATTAAAATAGAGAGGGTCACAAAGGACTTCCAATTAGATTGTCTCCACATCCGCTCGGCAGGTGAGGGTAGCATGCATAGACCTTAATTTTTGCTATAATCAGATCGTGTGAATGGATCTGATATATATTAATCATATGAGAATGTTGACTTTCCACACTACCTTAAACAAAAAGATAGGAAGGAAGCTGTCACCAGTACGAGAAAGTGATTATAAACTTTAGAAGCACATTTGCTTGAGTAAAAAAAAAAAAAAAAGAAAAACTGAAGATGAAGATTGTATACATTTCAGCCGACAGTAACGTTAATTGATCGATCAATGAATGACTTATGTTTCCTGTATGGAAACGGTTGATCTCACCATTTTCATTAGTAACAGCCTTAAACCAGACTGAATTTCTTAAAGGAAGCTTTTTTCATGAGTTGTTTGAGTAATTTCATTTCCGTTCCGTTTACATTTAGGTGGACGTTTTTTGTTTATTTTTTGTTTAGTGGCATATCAACACTTCTATGAGTAATATAAAGCCGAAATGTAAATATTTAGTATACAGTTTTTTTTAAGATAATAATGGTTTTAGTGATACAAGTCTTATTAATTAATCCATAGCTTGGGGGAGAAGAGGTGGATTCATACCTGTCCCAAGTGTATTTTCGCGTAAATGAATATAACGAACCCAGCTGGAATTGGAACTCCACTGTCCGATTAACAATTACGAGCCATTATCCGTTACACCACCCGCACATCCAAACTTACAACACTTTGTATTCCCAAAAGTTACACCCGATATTCCCATCTAGGTACTGACTAGGCTCGACGTAGCTTCACTTCGGTGATCGTACGGGAAGCGGGGTTTCAAAGTGATGTGGACGTAAGCTTTTTACATCTAGGAATATCGAAAATAGTAATACATCATTGAGGTATAAATTACTTTGGCAAAGAAACCCTTATCAGTAATTTAACCTTCCGTAAGATGGACGTGTCTACGGGTTGCATTAGACAAAACATGTAATGCTAGATGAGTTTAGAAAAAACAATATCGCTGCAAAAATCAACCTGATGTCGACGGAATATATTCCTAAATTAAAGAAACTGCCAAAGTTGCTTTGAAAGGTTTAGAGAATAGAGAACTTCAGTTAAAAGATGCGGCACAAACAGGTCGACCATTGAAGTCTAACGATTTCTTGTTTGATTTTTCCTTATCTCGTGTTAATACTTCCGTTTCCAGTTGAAGGACAAACTTAAAAGCTAAATTCAAGTTAAACAGTCTATGGGGGTGGGTACAAAACTGTATTGACGGTTTAAAAATGAACATATCGAAATTGTATATAAATATATACCTCACCCCCCCCCACAAAAAATAATGGTTTGAAGTAATAAAAATGTCAAATTAAAAATAAATCCGTTAAATCATTACAAAAATAATTTAAAATCATTTTCCAGTTCCATTCGCTGTTTATGGAAGATCCAGGCACCTGATGACCAAGTATTGGAATTGACCGTAACTTTCCTGGACGAAGAACGAACACTTTCCGTGAAAGAAGGTATGAACTTTTTTTTAAATCAATATCTATTTCAGGCGCTCTAATGAGGCCCATTGCTTCCCATGAGATTCTCGTAAACCATTATTTATTTATAGTTTAATCCTTACCAGCTGTTCAAATATCAAATTTATCAAGCCAGATTCGAATGAAACATGTATAATTACACATAAATTTAAGTATTCTGGAAATTTTTAATGCGAACACTGCAAATTAACCGTTCAAACGTTAGCAGGGGTAGAGGTTTACCCCGTGTTTCCGGTTTAAAATTCGATTACCGGTACCTTCTAAAGTCTACTTCAACTCTATACTTCTAAGCTCTCCGACTGAGCTCGGAAATGTTATTCATTAATTGTTTATTTTTTCTTACCTTCCAATATGTTCGCCTATCATCCGGTTCACACTCATCTCCGGTTTTTTTTTTTTGAACAGGAGTAAGAGGTTTATCACTTGTTTCCTGCTCCTTCTAGAGTCTACTTCTAACGTATCCGACTAAACTCGGAAATGTTATTCACTAATTAAATTTTGACCTCTCCAAGTCAAGAGTGAGCCGTTATCTTTCCTACATCTCCAAAGACTTCACTTCTTCCCCTTTCTTACGCTTATACGACACCACAAAGTAACCCTCTACCTTGAGTTGCTCTTGGGCCTTGTATTGGGAGAACACAAGTAAAAAATAAATTGCCTGTACCTAGTAAACGCCGGTCACGTATCGTGTCCGGTTTTCCATGACTTAACGTAACAAGACAGTTGTCGTACATTTATGACATGAGAACAAGTTAGGATAAAAAAAAAAAAATTAAATATGTAGTTTATTTTTTTTTATTACACCAGTCTTTCTTATTAACCTAATACGCATGATCAATTCCTCACTTACGTCATCGTCAAGTTAAATAGCATAAAGTAATAGTCGGGGAGGAAACTGGTGTAATAATAAAATAATATTGATAAAAAGAGCCTCAATTTACCTTGACCCAACATATTTCAATATTTCTCCTCACCATTGAGAGTTCAAAATGTTAACTTACTGGAAATTTAGCTCGCCATTAAGTAATCATTGTCAGTTTTATGATGATTGATATTCAAACCAATTTATGCAGACGCTAAGCAAAACCGTTGTATTATTTGAGCTTGGAAATATTTTCAGTTATTTTACTGTCAGCCATTTTTAACATTCTTGCCAGTTTTTATCAACACGACTAAAAAAAATATTCGATATATATACGACATTTATGTTTATACGTTCTTATATGTGAGAAGAATTGTAAATTTAATTTTGTGCATCATATAAAGAGATTCTTCGGTTTCCAAGGGTTATACTCATTCTTGATTTTAAAAAAAAAAAAAAAAAAAAAGAGATAAAGTCAATTAGAAGTGATCAAAGTAAATGTGTTAGCGATATTTTTGAGAAATATTCTGAACTTACCCGACATTTGGATCCCCGTCTTTATAGCCTTGTCGTTGATAAAAGAATGCTTTAGACAATTCATACTTCGAACCTGATCAAGTGAATATTCTGGTGTGGGGGGCAAGAAGCTTTTTTTTTTTTTTTTTTTTTTTTTTTTTTGTGCGTCACTTAAAGAAAAAAAAAGCGGGAAAGGTAGTCATTAATCTACTGAATGAGTCCATTTCAACATTACCAGAGACTCTACCGACATCCTGGTGATTCCAAACTTCTACACAGGGGAGTTCCTCAATATCAAAATTGGACACTACATAAATTCGTTAAAAAGCAAAAAAAAAAAAAAAATGAACAATTTTTGTAGATTAGAATTCACTCGAATTTCCTCTACCCACAACATTTCTCAGAATTAAAAAATATTGATTTATAATCATTTTAGAAGTGGAGGGTCTGTTCATAATATAAATGCAGTCTCAAATCGATCCCCAACTTCCTAAAGCGGGGCAGGGCGCCTTGACGTGGTGTAATGGTTAGCATGCTTGTCTCACTAACACAATTACGACTGAGTGGAGAGTTCGATCTTCACTGAGTATTCCCATGTACTTTCGGCATTGTACTTTGCACGGTACTCTTGTGGAGACAGTTTATACCATGTGACCTTAATAGTGGCGAGAAGAGATTCCTGTCGGCTCACGAGACATTTGACCTTACGTATATAGTCGTTGGTTTTTTACTCCCAATACGATATGCAGAATGGTATTTACTTGACACCCACAAAGTCAAGATGTGACACAAGGTCGTTTAATGTGGGAGACCCAAGTGTTTCCACTCAAAGGCCACTGGTCCAAAACTGGTCATAGCTTGTCCAAGCTGGTCAGAGCCTAGTCAAAGCTGGTCATGACTTGTCCTAGCAAGTCCAGGCCGGAGCCAGTCCAAGCTAGTCGAAGCCTTGATCGAATCTCAGCCATAGGCCAAGAAACGATCCTATATTTGTCAAAAACCCCAACGAAAAAAATTCGTCGGGCGAATTATACGATATGCAGAATAGCTTACTCGAACGCCTGGATGATGCTTTTTTTGTATCAAGTTTGAAACTGTACTTACGTCATTGATAACTGTGTACTACTGATGTTTTTTTTTGTATCAAGTTTGAAACTGTACTTACGTCATTGATAACTGTGTACTACTGATGTTTTTTTTTGTATCAAGTTTGAAACTGTACTTACGTCATTGATAACTGTGTACTACTGATGTTTTTTGTTTTCTTTTTGCCAATTCATAACAGTACGCCGTTATCAATGACTGAAACAACGCTTCAAATTTGACGTTTGATATACCTCCAAAATAAAAAGAATTTCTATTTACCAAAATTCATACCAAAATTCAGAAATATCCTTTAAAATTTGTTCAAAAATGCATTCATTGTTATTTTTTGCCTAACGTCTCCAAAGGAACTTACACAAATAAGAAAAGTTTATCATGATACGATGAACCCTGAACATGGATTTTTATTGTGACCTTCCGCCGCGTACTTTATTGTTTCTGAGTTAACGAAATTTACACCGTGATTTATAGTCAGATGAATCTAATTAGGATCATCCTTCAAAGATGTATAACCTTTCCAACAATCCGACATAATCGTAATCCCAGATAAAATACAGCTTCGGATTATGTGGTGGCTGTTCTAGACCCCAGCAACTTCATGGCAAGCTAAACATTTTTATTTAAAATTTATAATTTCAAAAAAAGTGCCAAAAATTTAATAAAAACACCAACAAATTTTGAAATTTCTTGTGGTGAATTAATATTTGCAATAAGTAACTTTATATTATTTGGGATGAATTAATAGAAAAAATCCGGTATTTATTTGATTTTGTATTTATAATATGAACAGGACCCCACTTTTAATAAAAAAACAACATTGTTATAATTTTGCAAATGTAGAGGAAGTGAATGATAATCTGTAAAATTTATTCCGCTCCATCATCAATCAAAATTTTACTGTGTCGTCTTTTTTTTTTTTTTTTTTAAAAAAAAAAAAAAAAAAAGACTCGTTAATTTAAATAGTTGCCTGAATTTTCTAAACAAACTAATCTTATACTTTAATTTTTATTCAAACTGTTACCTTGATTATTGTCAGTGTCATGGTGGACATAACGTTTCGGTCAAGTACACTTTGGCCATCTTTAGGTATCCATTGTTTTGGCAGAAAAGGAATATCTGTTGATTGTTTGTGTTCGAATTTCTTGGATGAAGAGTTATTATTTACACTCTTATTTTTTTATTTGAACTATTGTCCTATTCTTGTTGTTATCACAACGTTTCGGTCGTTGTACTCTTCAGCCTTCATCATATGTATATCGACCTGTGTAATCTACAAGGAATTCTGAACTGAACACTTTATTTAATTTACGGGAGTAGACAGTTCTCGTTCGAATGCCCATGTCTATGGATATCTCATCTCGTTCTTATTTTTAGTACTGCTCAGTTATTGCTTGTCCCTTTCCACTGAGTCCAAGTGCGCACTGCTCGGGACAGAAATTGATTGTTGATTTGTCCTTGTGATGCCAATTCTCATTAGTTCCTACTGATTATTTTAATCAACAAATATCCCATATTAGTCAAAGCAATGGACACAATGTTTCAGTCAAGTACACTTTGGCCATCTTCAGGTGTTCATTGTTTTGACTCGTATGGCTTACTATCTCCCCCACCCAAGAAAATTCTTACAAATATTTTCTGGCTTTAGACAACCTGCAAATTTATCAAGTCGTAGAGAACAAATTAGTCATTCCAGATGTGGTAATGTGAATTGTTCTTCCAGATCTGGTCTGTCATACTAGACTTTCCCCCTTCTCTTCTTTCGTGAGTTCCTCTCTTTTTTTCCTATTCTACTACCCTCTATTTCCATAGACGAAAGGTTGTACGCCTC